GGGGAGGTGGCACGATGGGTGGCTTTTTTGTATTATTTTTTTGAGCAGTGTTGTATGAACCAGATTAAATACCCTAGATGTTTTTTCCTGTACAAACCAGGCAACTTTGACACACTTTTTTTAAAATAGGGCCCTCAAAATCGGAAACCAAACAGATCAATAACAAAGCAATTGTTACAGCAATACTTGTTTGTTTCATGATTGTCTTCTTTCTATCCGAAAGCAAAGGCTTTCTTTCCCCTCTGCCAATTCCTATATACATGTAAATCACTTTCATCTGAAAACGAAACACAATACACCCAAGTCTTCCAGGATTTGTGGGTTTTTTGTTTTTTTGGGTTTTTTTTGCAATTGGTTTAACTTATCTGCCTTAAATGATGTTTTCCGTGGAAGATCGAAAGAATCATTTGGAATGGAAAGATCAACCAAGGAGTTATTCTGAAGTTGTGTTTTGAGCTTCATTCGTGGTACACAACTACATACAAACGTTGAGAGAAGGTTGACTTTAAACAAAAAGTCGCCTCCAGATCTGAGAGAGACACATTACTTTCTCAATGAGATGATTAAAAAAATGTTCTTTTAATATTATAATGGTTCTGCTTCTCCTTGTACATAGGATATCCACTCCATAAAATGATATGAAACGTGTTTAAATACAGAGAACATTATCGTGATTCTTCAGAATGATTTTTTGAACCCCGAATAAATAGAGGAGCGAACCATCTTGTAAGATCTTTGTTATAAATGATCAATTTTAAACTCTTAATTGAATACATCTCATTGCTTGTCCTCAGAGAGCAGAGAGACAGCATATATCTACGCAATCTCCTCCGCCGGCATTATGTACAGCGTCACTCGCGCATGCGCAAAGGGCGAGCTTGACAAGTGTGGTTGTGACAACAAGGTGAGGCGGCTCCAGGAGGAGCGGGGCTTCCAGTGGGGTGGATGCTCGGACAACATCCGCTACGGGGCGAGGTTTTCCAAGGACTTTGTAGATTCTGTCGAGACGAAGCAAAAGGACCATGGCAGCATGAACCTTTGGAACAACGGTGCCGGCAGAAAGGTGAGGACAGATGAAACGAACTGATTTTTAGCATAAAAAAGGACAGCTGAAAATCAAAAAGTGGATGATTTTACGTATGGTCTTTGTTGTGCACCTCTGGAAACAAGTAATTTATTAATTGAACTTAGTCTCAAATGCTACGGAATTCAAGAGTGCTTTAATATTTAGTACTTGGACGCTACAGTACAGATTAATTAAATAGAGAGCTGAATAAAGAACACGAAACATATATGTTCTAACTGTTTTGTCAGAGAGAGAGAGAGAGAGAGAGAGAGAGAGAGAGAGAGAGAGAGAGAGAGAAAGAGAGAGAGAGATAGAGAGAGGGAGAGAGAAAGACAGAGAGAGAGTATGGGGGAGAGAAAGAGAAAGTGGAAGGTAGAGAGAGAGAGAGAGTCTAGGTGAATGAATTGCACACCTACCAAGTTTTAGAATCACCCCCATCCTCTGTTTCATTATTGGATTGACATGTTAGATCGTAGTATGAAAGTAACACCTCCGTAATGACTGACTTTGCAGTTTTAAAAAAAAGAAAAATTTTCACTCTTAAGGCAAAACAAAAGAAACTAATTTTAATATTTAATTTTTAAAATTTGTATTGTGATTGATACCTGCTATTTTCCGTAGCTCATAACGAATAGCAGTAAGTACAATGCCATTTATTACAAATTTATTCTTCTCGATTTGTTATATTGTGTATCAGTCCAAGTAGGTGCCCATGGTCATTGTAAATGTGTAAGTGAATGTGTGCACACACTTTCTCAGATTCTCTTTCACGATCTCCTTTGTTCTAGACAATCAAGGACCAGATCGACATCCAATGCAAATGTCACGGAGTGTCCGGTGACTGCTCCGTCAGGATCTGCTGGCGCAAGATGCGCAACTTCCGTGAGATTGGCGCCGCTCTCAAGGCCAAGTTTGACGGCGCCAGCTTAGTGCGCTTCGACAAGAGGCGTGGCCGGTTAAAGCGCGTATCCGGCAAGCAGAAGCGGCCTACGAGGAAGGATTTGGTCTATTTGGCCGACTCCCCCGACTTCTGTGAGTACAACCTCAAGTACGGCTCCCTGGGCACGCGGGGACGTCAGTGTAACAAAACGAGCTATGGGCTGGACGGCTGCACTCTCATGTGTTGTGGCCGGGGCTATCAGACGCTGGTCAGCGAGGAGGTGGAGGATTGTGACTGCAAGTTCTATTGGTGCTGCAAGGTTGTGTGTAAGAAGTGCACCAATGTGATGGAGAAACACTACTGCAACTAGCTCTATTCCTCGCCACTTGACTAAGTGGCGTGAGATTTGAGAGGAAACAAACTGTCTTGCACTACGTCGGTCTTTGAGATTGCTGCAAAAAGTAAACCTCCGCTACACCCTGCAGCAGTTCTCAGGAAGAAGCAAAGCGCAATTTGAGTTTACTGTCACATAGTAGCCAAGCTAGATCTAAGTCTCGAAAACAGAATGGGAGCTGAGGTAAAGCACAATATGTGACTGTTCTTCTTCCTACAATGGCTGTGTTGAATACTTTGTTTACACTGTTGTCTTGAGATTGTGACTCCTCATGAACCATGACTTCATTCACGAACACACATTGGTGAAAAGGTATTTGCTACTGTTTCGTCAGTTTCCTCATTACCTCAAGTTGGATCATGCTATGACACTGACTTTGTGTATTATTGCTTTGTGCTGATTGATGCAACGGAGGTACTCACTCTTGTAACGGCTTGCAAGATTTGTTTTCGATCCACTTTTAACTTATAAACGATTCATGGCCATATATTTTGGCAATTCAGTGGAGGGAGTGGTACCGCAATGGAATAAAAACGATATATTACTAAATGGTATAGCAATCCATGTAAGTATCAACTTGCCCTAAAGGCGCTGACAGATGTTTAACCAATGTGCAGTATGCTAGCACTTTGCAAAAAGTTCTATTTTAAACAGCTTTCATTCACATTAGTTAGCTTGTCAAATCTTACCACTTAGGTGAGTATGATTTAAAAACGAGTCTAGTTTTATTTTGATAGATGAAAGTACAGGCATTGTGTCATCTTTCCTCACTATACCACCAACAATATTATTTTCTTATACCATTATTTGGTGTTCTAATTTCAAGTCCATTTCTAAAGACTGCAACAGAATACTAGGCATATACATGTTGGGCATGCCTTAAACTACTGAACAGTAAAAATACAACACGTTGAAATATTTCTATTTTATAAAGTTGGTGGCTTTTTGGCACTGGATTTGGTTAAACAAAACAAACTGTCCAGTCTCAAGATTTCCAAATCGGCAGTTAATTTGAATTTGAGAAAATGTAGTCTATTCTGTTATTGGTGACTGGAGGCATTGGTAAAGAACTCCATAATCGGCACTCTAAAGAATTCTGAAACAGTGCACCATCAAAAGACAGAAGTGTTCTTTTAAAGACATTTATGGCTGTACAAAGAAAAGACCAAGCAATTTGGTGTCACAGTGGAAGTACAAGACAATCATAACACAAACCACCATTGATGAACAGAAATGATGTCACTATCAAGATGAATACGTAATATACCTCTGATGACAATACTGCATCCATCACAATCAGCTCTGAACGGAGTTAAAGATTATACTCGATGTACTATGGAATATATTCACGATGGTGCCAAAAGGAAGAGGTATGGGCCATCTCTGAGCAAGAAAGCATCGCATCTGGCAGAGCAGAGGAGACCGGAGACTCTACTAGTGTTGTATACACGTAGCTCTCCTGTTCGAAGAGGGCAAAAAACCCCACGCTATCTGATTTTATTATTCCTTTAACCAAAGTTTTATGAATGTTTTTTTTTTTTGTATGCTGGTTTACCAAAGCAATCGTTCAGTTGTACTGTTTTATTTTATACTTTTGAGATAAGTAGTGAATAACCCTATTGTGAATAATGTTTGTGAATATTATTACAGGCTTACGTTCGCCTGTTGCTGTCTCTTCTATCTTAATGGACTCTGAATGGGTTACATTGTAAGTTGGACTTTGGGAGAATGCCGTGTGAACGATTAAAGAGTAGAATGTATTTCTGTTTGAACGATTGTTTTCCAAGCATGTAAAGACGTATTGATTTATTAGACTGAGATGCATGTAAACAATGTAGCATCATAGTGGAGAAACACTGCTCTGGGTCTGATTATACAATCATTTGGATTAAACTAGGAATACTTCCATAACATATTTTTTCTGTCGTTTTATGTAAGTTGTGCTGTGACTTTAAATGAATCCAGGGTACTTTTGAAAGATTACTATCTGTCATTTCCCTGGAGGGGAAGGGGGGGGGGGGGCAGGTGCCACGTGTATTGACCACATTGTATAATGTGTCGTAAGTTAACAGTTATACGAAGAGCAACAGGGTTCATCTTTAATAAGTCACACACTAAAAATATGCACACATCTAGCACGTTATCCTCTCGGCTTCAGATTTACGTTAAAATTTTCAAAAAGCAGGGCAATCGTGCATTTTCAAATTTCCTTTTAAAGAGCATGATGCAGTTAAGCACAATGATGCGTAAATTATTTTTAACCTTCATCACAATATCAATTTAAGTTACACTTTTTAAGGGGACCGTGTACATCCATATGTTAACAATAAAACAATTAAAAGAAACATGGGATATTTTATATGACAAAGCAATATAAAAAAAAATCAAGCTCAGTCCCTCACTTAGTTTGTTGAAGTCTTTAACCTATTAGCCCCCCCCCCCCCCCCCCCTGAAAATAAGAATAACAACCAAGGTCACATATCTTTTTGCCTTTTAAAATATATCAACTTTTAAGAAGCATATTTCCCCCAGAATTTGGATACAAACACTCTAAGCAAGTTTGTGGTAGATGCGCCCACAGACAATACGGTTGTGTTCGTCCTTCACTGCTTTATTACAGTCATCAAAAGCGACCTTCCATGTATTCGGCTTTCCAGCTGGAGAAAAGCCCCCATTGTCTCCAAAGTACTTTGCCTGACCAGCACCGTTTGTCTGACCCTTCCACTGACCAGGTTAATGGCCGAAGCTGGATTATACCCGTCTTCTCGTGTTCTAACCACTGACTGTTGGAGATCCCGCCCGCAAAATTTATAACAGCTGATAGTCCTTCCAAGATCTACTGCGTGGAATTATACCCTTAGGAAGACTTTTCTCAAAACGAACCGCCGGCAACGTCTGCTCATGTGCTTTGTCTTTGGCAGGTTAACCATGATTTTTATCGTAGCTGTTTAATAAATGCGTCCCCTCGTCTTGTTGTTGGATCAGAATAGGCATAGTCACTTTGTGTTCATCAATGATTAACTAAATCAAATTAAACTTCTGTTTTCTAATTTTATTTGTGAACCCGTTCTCTTTTATGTTTATTCGTATGTTTTATTAACTTAAAAAAATAATTTTCTGCTTTTTTCATTTTGTTTTATTTATTTTTGATAGGGTGTAAGGGTTGACACAACCGACTTATGTTGTGTAAAAGCTCTCTATCTGATATAGAACTTTTTATTAGATGCAAATATCTAGTTTTGAGAAGGGAAAATTGAGGGCACTTAAAAAATTTTCGAGATCCTTGAGACATATAAGTAAGTACATAGATGCAAATTTTCCCTTAGTATGGAACTCTTTAGCTAAGAGTGGTTAGAAAATGTGAAAATCGTCATGGTGCTGAACAAAATAATGGCCAAAGTATTTTTCTCTTTTAAGAAAACTTTACAAAACCAACATTCTCTTTTTTTCAATAAAGATGACTTAGGTCATTTGGAAATTCTTTTTTTTAAAGTGTTGGCACTTTAAAAAGTATATAGAAACATGCAGGAGTTATCACATAATTCAATTCTGTATCAATTCACATAATATGTGCTAAGTCTGCCTAAGCCTTGCTAAGCACCATGACGAAACGAGAAGACGAGATACATCGTAAAATCATCACTGCTCCCACAAATGAAGCAGGATATTGTATCATTTCAGTTAGTCATTATTCTCCCTTTTCAGAGCCCTTTATCTTTAATCTTCGGATGAAAAGATCTTTTGTCTGCATTTAATGCGAAATTCTGCAAGAAAGTTGGAATAGTCTCTTCCAATTGCAAATTACGTGAAGGTAATTTTCACGGCAATTATTTTTTATGATATTTGTATGCATTACTGGCTATGTATTCCCATGTTGCGTATAGGAAGGCTCTAACTACCGTGTATGGTTATATTTGACGTTTACAGTTCTAGACAAGTACAGTTTTGCACATAAATTAAAGGTTTGAAAGAGACTAAAGCCCGTGTTCATAAGGCCACTGTATGTACAGCAATTGTCGATATCTTTGCAACAAAAGTCGATATATGTAAATAGACAAGTTAACAAAGTAGATTTCACAAAAGAAGAAAAAAGGACAATGACGTTTCTGCCCGTTTTAGAAAATCTTGTCTCCTTCTGCGGTGTCCCATGAAGTGTGGCTGATTGCCTCGTCACCGTACAAGGAATTATGGATTGTTTGCCTAATTTCCTCGAAGCAACTGCCTTTGTCCTAGTCATATTCAATCTCTTTAGGAAAATAAAGTTTACAAACCTAAACACCAGTAAACAGTGTAAATGTGTTACTAAGAAAGACGTACTTCAGATGCGAGAGAGGCCTTCACGGTGTACTCTAAGAATTATTTTTGCTCGATTTTTTCAAAAAATAGTTTGGCCCATGGTACACATAAAAACCTTTACCTGGCGGAAACTCACGATGTTCCACCCGTTAAGCCCCAGGGAAAATGTGAGAGTTAAGAGAAACACATTCTTCTGCACATCAAACAATTTAGGAATGTGCATGAAAACCACCAGCCAAAAAAGTATCAGTAAACAAAGTTTCCAATGCTTTTTGATAACAATTTAGATCCATTTTTAGCCCAATATTCCAAGACTACTCGCCGAAATTCCAAGGATCTTCAAGTAGTTGATTGTTGCCTAAAGCACCACAGACAAACCACAGACAAACCACAGACAAACCACAGACAAACCACAGACAGACCACTAAACACCACCTGTCAATATCCCCTGGTAACGCCAACAAACTGTTTGTGGAACATCTCATTTTAGAAGACAACACTAGACATCTATTTGAATGCTTGACAGATTTCAGTAAATATGCATGTATGTATATATCTCACTGCTATAATTGTTATTTTAAAAAAGGGTAGTTTTGTTTGTGAGTTATGGGTAGAAGTTCCAACTTGTCACTAAAGGAGACATGAATGATGATTATCTGTTTTCTTGGGAGATTCATAGTCGTTTTTCTCAAGTTTATGCTTCAACCTTACTTGTTTAATCGGTGGGAGTGAACCTGCCGAAGACATGAGACTAAAGAGGGAGACAAAAAGAAAGAGAATAAGAAAGTACAAGAGAGATAGATAAACGAGAGAAAGAGAGAGAGAGAGAAAAAAAAGAGAGAGAGA